TGCAACCAGTTTTTGAGATACTCAAAATGACCAGGGACTTTCCCCACAGACATTGTTGACATATTTATTCTTTTGTAGTTCAAAGTAATTTTTTAATGGATAACATTAATTTACAGGGATGTGCACATTTAATTAAAATTCTGCCTATTGATTTGTTGAAACAGTTCACAGGATTTCAGTATTTTATATATATATATACTTGTTAAAAATCTCTTTACAGTTATTTTACAAGAAAGTGTGAAGATTTATATTGACCAGCAAAAAAACCCAAACAGAAGTCAGTTATAATTTTATTTATCTCCTATTAATATTCAAACTCTTAACTGGATTCTGAATCATATGATACTGCTAATTTATGAATGAGATATAAATTAATGCTCACTAGTTATTTCTCCTTAATAAGCATATGATTTCAAGCCAGCAATTTTTGGAAATATTTTGTGTAGAAAGAGTCCTTTTGAAATATTTCCTTGCTCATTAATATAAAATATTAGTATAGGAATGTATCTTGTTTTGTTAATCACTTTGTTTTGGTATGAATCAGTTCTATCAGTATGTAGTGATTAACAAATAAAGTAAGTCAGAAGTAACATTTTGCTTGTTTATGTTACAAAGTAATGTGAAAGAATTTTGTGATTACCAATATAATTTTTAGACAGAGAAAATTAGGAAGCAAATCTGCTTTCATTGTATTACTCTCCTTCTTATCTTTCTATATCCATCTGCATCCAACTTGTGAAAAACTTAAAAACATTTCTTATTTTGCATAGATTTTAAGATGTAAGAACTTATAGAACAATATAGATTAAGCTACAATACTTTTAAAAGGAGATATAAATTAAATCACTCTCTTAAAAGAAACTAAACATTTTTTTACAGTTGAAGATATTGAAATTATAAATAACATTACAATGGCTTATCCTTCATTGTTTATTATCAAGTGGGGGATACTTTGTTTGAGGTAACAGTTAATAGCTCAAAAAAAATGTTTATAAAATGTATTTGTTAAATTTAGAAAATTCATGTATAGTTAGGCTATTATAATTAGGTCAGAGAGTAAAGAGAAGCAAGGATTGGACAATGACAAAGCCATAAATGAGCTGCTAGCTCAGACACATTCAGCTCATATACCTTGTTAATCCTACAAACATGATCAAGAGAAGTAAATATCTGAATCTAAAATCCAGAGAAAGTTTAGGCAAATGAAATATGACTGGTTTAAGAGAAAAGCACAGCTATTCCAGCACTACACCAATAACAACGGTTTCTACTCAGAAATGAACGCTGTGTATGGACAAAGCAGCAATGTAGAGACACAAATATATGATTTTGACATCAACCTCCTTACTGATGTTGATGCCATAAAAAGGTGATGTGCTCGTCACAAAAAAATCAAGGTGGTTGACTTGTTCCCCTGTATCCAATGGTTGATTGTTTTTGTTCAGGATGTGAACAATAACCAAAACAAACATAAATACTTGAATAATTTCGGTAAGGAGAGATGTGGCCTTTGATTTTAATCTTTTTTGTTCTTAGCGCAACTACTACAACCTTTGATGTTCCTGTTCTCAGTAGTAATAATAGTAGTATTAGTAGTAGCATTAATTGTAGCAGGAGTAGATGTTAACGGCGATTTTTGCAGCTTCTTGCCCTCAGCTTCAGCAACACACAGCAGGACGCTTCCTTTTCAATCTCTGACGTATTCTCCACAAGTTTCAGTTCGACTGCATTCGTAAAGACAGACGAACCCAAAAAACTCTCCTCCTCCGGTTGGTTCGCCTCTTTTTAAGAGAACTGACGCTTCCTTTTCCTCTGACGTTCCCAGACTGGTGACGTATCTGTTTTTTCTAGTGCGAACGTACTGACATACTACCAAAGTACCAATTTCAACTTCACTCCTCCGAGAATAAACAATTTACTTTTTTTTCATCGATTGGTTTCCAAGGCCCACAACAAGACGCTATTGTTTATCACCTCGCTATTAATTATTCTTGATGCTCTTTGTAAACTACAGAGAGTCTTGTTTTAAAAAAAAATAAATTCTAGATTAAAACATCTTTAATTTTGACTTCAATTCTTATAGTGTCAAAATCCATTTCTTTTTTTAAAAGTTCCAAATTATTATTGTTCCAGTAATTTTCTATTAGTAATCTGATATCCTTTGTACACTCACAAAAAGATTGTATTTCGTGATATCGATTAACTTTCTGTAACATTTACATTTCAAAGTCTTTACAGCATATTAACATCTTGGTTATTCGAAAACACCTCTCTTTCATTTGGTGTTTTCTGTTTTACAGCATATCCTCTTTTCATTATTATTATTATTATTTCAGGGGTGATATCGCCCCTAACATATCTCTCCCTTACCCTTTTTTGTCTATTACTCATAATTGACATATATAGTCCAATGAGTATGTCAAAAAAAGAAAAAAAAATCTACTCATGCAATTGTCCATTATACCTTTCGCATGAAGGTATTACTTCACCCAAATTAAAAAAAGTAAAAAAAAAAAAAAATTGTAAAGTTTGATTAAATTGATTCAAGGATTAAAGTTCTCAGCTTACCAGTCCTCAACAGTTCATAGCACAGTTCTGATATTCTACATGTGGAATAATAATTATTCTCCTGTAATATATATATTCAAATTATGCAAAATTCAATAAGCAAAGTAACAATCACATTTCTATTTCAATCATTTATGGAGCCTTCAACACTCCTTACTGCTCAATCAGTCATGGTCTTTATTCACTTCTTCTATTTTCTGTCCTGCCTTGATTTAACAGGGGGTTTGATGATCTTATATGGATTCAGGGCTCTCTCCAACAGTCGTTGTTTCATCTGGTAACTCCATGGTAGGTTCATTCACATCCACATTGATTATGCTCTTAAAAAGCTCACTTAATGGGATTCCTCTTTCGCTTGGTTACTTACCAGCCAGTTTGCTCCGTTTGCGTGACAACTTCGCTCGCCTCTTTTAACCACCACCAGGTTATTACTCCTAAAATAATCAATAAGGATCCCAAAACGGTCGGCCAAACTATCATAGTACTCATATTCTCTTTCCAATTCGGACTAGTTCTTTCCCACTAGGTTTAATTTAGATTTCAACTCTTTTTAGAGTAATTTTTCTAAGGGGCTTCAAGAAGTCAAACATTTTCTTTAAAGAAATCTCAGGGAATTCCTTTAGCGTAGGTTCCTATAATTCTGTCCATTCACTCGCGTTGGTTGGCATTAATTTCAGGAAAGATTTGTTTTCCTCGAATTTTTCTTCTGCCTGGTAATAAGGGGGAAGTGACATCGAGGAGCCATGGGCACCACACTTCATTGGTAATTCTACAATAAATAATGGTGGCAGCACTTTTATAGTCCTAGTGGGCTCTTCTTCACAAACCTCCGATAATTCTAATTCTGTTCGGGTGGCTACCGCCCAAATGCCGTCCGATATGCTAATTGCTGAAGCTAATATAACACTGGGTAATACTTCTATTTGACAATTCTCCTTAATTCCCCTTTTGTTTTTCCTAAATAAATCAAGTACACACAGATCATGACTACCAGTCACATAAATTGGGCTTACGGATACACAGGTGTTTAGAGCATCAACTTTACATCTATTCGCTTCTTCACTTCTTAGCAACATAAATTTTGTTCTGGCCAAATTCAAGGCTAAAATGTCCGCTTCCACCTTACCACGGCTTCTAATTTTTGAATTGCATTAGGATATGGAATAGGAAGATTTATTACCTGGTATATTTCGAAGGTACTATCCCTATCTAACAGAGGAACTGATACTAGTACTAATAATTTCTTATTTTCCAATAAGGTGGTACACCCTAGGGCACTATAATATTTCCATAATTGCTTGGTGGGGTCTACAGGTAACCTAAGGTGATGAGGTAATCTAGCCTGTATTCCCAACAACACTTCTCTTAACCGGGTTGGAGTTATTATACTCGGTGACAGGTGTCCCATAGATAGCATATCCAACTGAGCTCTCACATGCTCTAGTAATACGGTTATCGAGAACAACTGGAAATATTGTTGTAAAAAACCCTCTAATCCTCTCAGTTCCGCTGCTAAGGATCCTGTTACATTGAACACCTCTCCTCTAAAACTTTGCAAATGGGAAATTAACCAATATATGCTACCTCTGTTCTTAGCTAATTCCAACCTTGTAACATTAAGAATGGACAACAATTCTCTCTAGATATTAAGAATGGATACGTCTTTCAATTTCTTCTCTCAATGAATCTAGCTATTTGAGCTAAATTATTTTGTTGGAATTGTCTTTCCAGGAACGTCTTTCAATTTCCTCTTAATCATCCTTACATCATCTTCTGACACTGTTCCAAATAATACACTCAATGCCTTCCCTACAATAGGTAGTATAGTTCTTTTTTTTTTTTAGTCTGTAAATAGCTCTACCTCCTTCAGGTATAGACTCATATCTTTCCATTGTCTATCAAGTATCAGGGATTCTGGGCCCAAAGGATACATTATATGGTGGTATTCTTCATTCTGTAAATAATCCTGAGCTACTTGTGTTCTAGCCCTATTGAACTTCGTTATTTCCATTTCTAAACGAGCTAATAACTCTTTGTATGGTTGAAAATCTATCACTAGGGTTATCAACCATTTTGATCTAATTATGACCACCTCATTGATCTTTTTAAATACACTATTTTCGCTACGCTCCCAGGGACTTACTGCCAATATCAGCGCCAGCGCTATCAGTGGTACTCCCTTGTCCATACCTGCAACGAGATAAAGATGAGGGTCCACTTTTACTCCTACATTCCCTTCTGTTGCTTCTTATGGCTATCGATTAGCATAAGCACCTGAGGAAGTAATCCAGTCCACAACCAGCGGTGTCACGCATGCAATGGGGGCTCTTCCACACATCCGTTATCAACGAAAACCGCAGTCCGGTCCACCTTTCGGGCTCTTCTGCAGTTACCTGATCAATCTTCTCATTTTCTCTATTCTGGGACTTTAGTTCTCTCTACCTCTCTCAGTCGTAGCTTTATAGGTAATTCTACGTCCTTAGATGCATTTTTTTTTCGCTTTCTGTTCGTTCTTTCAACTAATGGAATCTCATCCTCTTCTCCCCAACTATCCGATCCTTCACTACTCATCTTCAGTTCACCATCATCACTTCATTACCTTCCTCAAGGGAGCTACTTCCACGATTGTCGATCCCCTTTATTCTCTCCAAACTCTCTGGGGTAATCATAATTTCCTCCTCCCTTCTTCGCTATCAGTCTTTAATTCTTCGGGTTCAACCAAGGTTGCTCTTCTCATTCCTCTGTTCGCTCTCCTCTCCTTAGCTCCTTCCCATTCATCTAGCTCTGCGAATTTTATATCGTTAGCATTAACCCGTTTTACTTTCCCTGCTACTTGATCCCAAATTATGTAAGTAACAGGTCCCATCTATTCCACTATTCTATTAAAAGGAATCCATCTCCGATCCAATTTACGTTCCCTCAGGTGTACTCGATCACCCAGTTGGAAGTTAATTTCCTTCCTGTAAAAACCTTATGTTGTTGCTCCAAGATCAATTTATAGAGATCTTCTCCCATATATTTCCTTCTGGGTCTTAGCAAATTATCTATCTATCGGTAAGATCACATCCCTGCCAAATAGCATATAATAAGGGGAAAATTTCTCGGTTTCCTTTATAGAAACTCGCACGGCAGCCAGAGCCTCAGTTAAGTACTCATCCCAGCTCTCTTTATTATCACCTGCCAACTTCGTTAGCGCATCGGCTAAGGTCCGGTGGAATATTTCTACTTTCGCATTGCTCTGGGAGAGGTGGTAATGTGTACATTATATAATTCTCAGAGTCTCTTCCATGATTTGATTTACATTCTCTGGTCCGTTGTCAGTGACCAACTGCTCAGGGGCTGTATATCTCGGAAATATCTCCTGAAGCATTATATTTGATACTGTTTGTGCTCAGGTATCGCGAAAGCTTCTGGCCAATTCGTCAGGCAGTTCACGAAGCTTACCATATATGCATTTCCACGAGGAGTTTCTCCATAGGGCCCTGAAATATCCATGCTCACCTTCTGAAATGGGTAATTTGGAATATCTGTTTCCATCACTGGGGCGACCTATTATCTCTACTCTGTGATTGACACCTTATGCACTTAAATCAATATATCATTATACAGTCTAGGCCAAAAATAATTCCTGACTATATTCATAGGTTCTATCAACCCCCTTGTGTCCTACCTTTTCATGACACTGGGCTAAGATTTCTTGTCTTAACATTTTTGGTACTACTATTTTGAGACTTCTTTCTTCCTCTCGTCCCGAAATGTAATTCAACACTCCATTGTGTATAACATATTTAGCAGTAGTCATTTACTCCTCAGAGAAGTAATTTCGCTATCTTCCTGATTCTTCTCTATGATAGCTTCCCAATGAGGGTCCCTAATAATTTCTTCCTCCTCATATTCCTCTTCCTTCCAAACTGGACGTTTACTTAGAGTGTGAGAATTTATCACATTAACTTGATAAGCCCTGTCGTCCACCCTGGTTCTAACCTAATGGATTCGGACTCTAATCTTTCTGGAATTCTTGATAACAGATCTGCACAGGTATTATCCTTTCCAGATAGATACTCTATTTTACACTGATAGCCACTAAGCTTCAATGCCCACTGCTGAATCTTTTTATTTGTCCACTCTGCCTCTAATAAATGTTTGAGGGGCTTATGGTCAGTTTTAATGGTAAACACGGCCCCACTTAAGTAATAATCTAATTTTTGTACTGCATATAAAATGGCAAACGCTTCCTTTTCTATCACTGGCCATCTCTGCTGGGTCTCTGATAGTCTGTGGGACAGAAAATATATAGGCACTTCCTCAGGTATACCTGGCACTGGTCCATCCTTATCAGGACAAGGCTGGGTAAGTACCGCGCCGATACATTTTCACTGGCATCTGTGTAGAGCACTATCGGCTTGCTCAGTTCTGGGTAAGTCAGCTGGTCCATGAGGTTATCAAAGGCTCGCTGACAGTCCACTTAAATCTAACATACTTCTTAGTCAAGGCTATCAAGGGTCCTGCTAATCCGCTAAACGCAGTCACAAAGCGTCTGTAATATCCAATGGCTCTTATAAAGACACGAAACTCTCCCTGTCTTGGGCTCCGGCATAGCCCTTATCACTTCTACCTTATCTAAATCAGGTTTTATTCCCGTTTTGTTTATAACGAAAACCAAGTATTTAGTCTCATCCTTCACAAACTGACACTTAGGCAATTTTAATTTCAACTCGTGCTCTCTCAGCCTATTGAACACCTTCTGTAAGTGTCTAAAATGCTCCTCAGGTGTCTTAGAAAACACCATGATATCGTCCAGGTAAGCCATGGCAAAATCTTCCATACCTCCTAACACTATAGACATTAACTGAGTAAATACACCTGGGGCATTAGATAACCCAAACGGCATCACACGAAAATTAAATAGACCCATATGACAAGTAAAAGCTGTCTTCTCGTGGTTCTTTTCATCCAAAGCTACCTGCCAATAACCTGACCTTAGATTCAAAGTAGAAAAACAGGTTGACCTTCCCAAAAGTGCTAGAATATCATCGATCCGGGGCAAAGGTATCGCTAACGGTTTTGTAATGGCATTTAACTGTCTAAAATCCACGCAAAATCTATGTCCTCCATCCTTCCGTTCCAAATAACTATTGGAAAACGCCATGGGGACCTAGATCTCTCTATTACTCCCGAGTCCAACATTTCATTTACTGCTTCTTCCACTAATTTTCTCTTATGGATTGGGGTCCTATAAGGCCTCAATCTAATGGGGGGGGAGTCACCAGTGTCTATTTTCATACGTACTGTTCCGGTCTGTCCCAATACCTTGTCAGTATTAGCTACCACATCTCGATTAGCTTCTAGCAGTTTCCTTATCTCATCTTTATATCTTTCAGGCGCTACCAAGTCTTCTTCCTTTATTTCGGGGCTACTAGTCTTTACCCTTCTTCCATAGGTCTTGCTTACTCTCACTTGCTTGATAATTTCTATCGGACAAGCGTAACCTAACACTTCTTCCTGTTTTATTGTTATAGTTTTACTGGCTGTGTTAGCCAGCAACAGGGACACCGTTTTTTATTCCTACTACCACAGAACTACAAAAGGTCGCCTCTTCTTCACCATTATCATAACTCTCTGTAGGTGTTATTTGATATAACCCTTCCGTTAGTTTCTCTACTGTTTTTATCCTTCCTTCACATGAAATTGCAATTCTAGGGGGAAGTTTCACATCGGTCTGGGCCACTATGGGGTATTTCATTTCCACTTCATTCCCCAATAGGATTTCCACTCCTTATAAGGTCAATGTACCAACAGGGATTTGGCCTTGTTCAGCCTAAGCCAGTCACTCCCGAAAAATAATTGCCCACACAAATCAGGTGCCACATACACCTTAAGTTCACCTGTGGTCCTTGCCAATTTGAATGGTAGCCATGTCATACCCTCTATTCTCATCTGACTACTACTATCTCTGGCTAATTAAGAAAACCACTGGTTGGAGTTTTCTACGTAACCCCAGCTGTCTAAACACCTTGAATTTATTAGGGAGACTGAAGCTCCAGTATCCACTAACCTCTCTTTTACCGTCTTATGCCCCACCAATACATTACAGGTGAAGTCCGGTCCCTCTTTAAACAGTTGAAATATCTGGGCTCTGTTCCTATTCCTCAACCTCCCCTTATTTTTAAATCGGAGTCGGCTATCCCTATCTCTCTCAAGTCTCGACCTGGTGCTAACAATCCTGAATCATTCGTTACCCTATCCCCAGCTTCTTTTGGGGCTTTCCTTGGGTGGAGTGGGGACTGGTCCTCTCGACCTCCTTGCCTCTCCTTTTCCTTCAAAGTTTTTAGAGACCTCAATGTTCCACCATTTTTCCCGGACAGTTATTTGTTTTAAAAGTGTCCAACTTTTTCAACATTGCCAGGTCCAGCTACCAGCCATTTACAGTTGATTGAAAACTTGTCCATCCACACCGCATGTCCAGCACTTCAGAGGTTTTATTTTTACTGGGACCACCCTGCCTCTTATTTGCCTCGGTATACAGGGGGTTTTACTGTTCTTTCCCATTCGAAGGCTTTCTTCTCCGGTGTAATTTTCCACCATTCCCTAGGATGTTTATTTTCTTAATCCCTAGTCTCTTTCCATGCATTACCCTCTTTCCCAGATTTTTTATACCAAAAATTTTAATCCATACTCTAACCCCATTCCCTGGTTGGACGTCACCCCTCACGCCATCATCACGGACGGAATCCATGAGAGCGTCCGCTAACAACGCCTGTATCGCCCCATTTTCTCTTATTTCCGTATTCGGGAATGCTAACCCTGCTAATCCCGTCATTCTACCTTCAAGGTCTTCTAGAGTTTCCCCTACTTCCTGTTTAATCCTAAACAATTTTCGAACCGCCTCAATGGTTGTTCGTTAGCTAGCATATCGTCTGATTAGGATTCCTTTCAAAAAATCCCATGCTTTTTATCTGGGTTATTTCCCTGTATAAGCCTCCGATAAATTTTGAGACTGGTCCCGCTGCTGCCTCATATGCCAACAGCACCATCTTCCGGTCTGTCAATCCGTATACCAGCTGTTTCTTTTGTACAGCTACCAACCAATCATGAAACTCAGTTGGGTTGCCTCGGTAGGAGGATAACTTCATACCACCCAACAGACTCCTAAAGGCCACCGTTATTTCGGGGACCGTAGCTTCGCCCTCCGTACTGTCTGACTCAGTGATACTCATCTCACCTATTTTGGCGGTGTTCCTCAATTAAAATGTAAATTTGAAGGACGAGGGTGACACTAAATCCTTACTGGCTATTTTCGTGTACTACAATTGAGCGAAAAAAAAAAAAAATCGAAAAAACAAAAGTAACCAAAAAATTTTTGATTCTTTGCTGCTGTTTTGTTGTTTGTAACTTATTGGCTCTTCGGATCAATATAATCTTTCGATTCCAATGTCTTCTAGGTAATTCTTGGGTATAACCTTTGGTCGCAGCGTCAATTGTAACTTCTTTCCTTTCCTTTAATGTCCTCCGGGTATCTCTTGGGTCGAATCCTGGTCATGGCAACCATATCCTCACCCCACTGGACCCACGCACTCCACAAGACCGGCCGTTGGTCCGGTATGGTCCAGTATTACAGGTTAGACACAAGTCTCCGGTTCCCAATGTCAATTCGAAGCCACCCTC